AAGCGTGTGAGGGGTTCGCCAAATTGGGTGGGGGGACGCATGCGAACCCTGCCACTGGGGCCTTCGGTGGAGCTCCCTATGGGACCACGAAGCGTGTGAGGGGTTCGCCGGAATGGGCGAGGGAACGCATGCGAACCCTGTCACTGGGGCCTTCGGCGGAGCTCCCTATGGGGTCACGAAGCGTGTGAGGGGTGTGCCGAATTGGGCGGGGGGACGCACGCGAACCCCGCCACTGGGGCCTTCGGTGGAACTCCCTATGGGGCCACGAACCGTGTGAGGGGTATGCCGAAATGGGCGGGGTTAACGAATGCAACCGCTGCCACGGGGGCCTTCGGTGGAGCTCCCTATGGGGCCACGAGCCGTGTAAGAGGTGTGCCGAAATGGGCGGGGGGACGCATGCGAACCCTGCCACACTGGGGCCTGCGGCGGAGCTCCCTATGGGGCCACGAACCGTGAGAGGGGTATGCCGAAATGGGCAAAGGGACGCATGCGAACCCTGCCACTGGGGCCTTCGGTGGAGCTCCCTATGGGGTCACGAAGCGTATACGAGGTGTGCCGACTTGGTCGGGGGGACGCATGCGAACCCTGCCACTGGGGTCTTCGCGGAGCTCCCGATGGGGTCACGAAGCGTGTGAGGGGTGTGCCGAAACGGGCGGGGGGACGCATGCGAACCCTGCCACTGGGGCCTTCGGTGGAGCTCCCTATGGGACCACGAACCGTGTGAGGGGTGTGCCGAAATGGGCGGGGGGGCGCATGCGAACCCTGCCACTGGGGCCTTCGCGGAGCTCCCTATGGGGTCACGAAGCGTGTGAGGGGTGTGCCGAAACGGGTGGGGGGACGCATGCGAACCCTGCCACTGGGGCCTTCGGTGGAGCTCCCTATGGGGCCACGAACCGTGTGAAGGGTATGCCGAAATGGGCCGGGTTAACGAATGCAACCGCTGCCACCGGGGGCCTTCGGTGGAACTCCCTATGGGGCCACGAACCGTGGTGTAAGGGGTGTGCCGAAATGGGCGGGGGGACGCATGCGAACCCTGCCACTGGGGGCCTTCGGCGGAGCTCACTATGGGGTCACGAAGCGTGTGAGGGGTGTGCCGAAACGGGCGGGAAGACGTATGTGAACCCTGCCACTGGGGCCTTCGGTGAAGCTTCCCACGCAGCCACGAAGCGTGTGAGGGGTGTGCCGAAATGGCCGAGAGAACGCATGCGAACCCTGCCACTGGGGCCTCCGGTGGAGCTCCCTATGGGATCTCCAAACGCGCGAGGGGTGTGCCGAAATGGGCGGGGAGACGCATGCGAACCCTGCCACGGGGGCCTTCGGTGGAGCTCCCTATGGGGCCACCACGACCCGTGTGAGGGGTATGCCGAAATGGGCGGGGTTAACGAATGCAACCGCTGCCACGGAGGCCTTCGGTGGAGCTCCCTATGGGGCCACGAAGCGTGTGAGGGGTGTGCCGAAATGCGCATGCGAACCCTGCCACCGGGGCCTTCGGCGGAGCTCCCTATGGGGCCACGAAGCGTGTGAGGGGTGTGCCGAATTCGGCGGGGGGACGCATGTGAACTCTGCCATTGGGGTCTTCGGTGGAGCTCCCTACGCGGCCACGAAGCGTGTGAGGGGTGTGCCGAAATGGGCAAGGGGACGCATGCGAACCCTGCCACTGGGGCCTTCGGTGGAGCTCCCTATGGGATCACGAAGCGCGCGAGGGGTGTGCCGAAACGGGCAAGGGGACGCTTGCGAACCCTGCCAATGAGGCCTTCGTTGGAGCTCCCTATGGGGCCACGAAGAGTGTGAGGGGTTCGCCGAAATGGGCGCCACTGGGGCCTTCGGCGGAGCTCCCTATGGGGTCACGAAGCGTGTGAGGGGTGTGCCGAAACGAGCGGGGGGACACATGCGAACCCTGCCACTGGGGCCTTCGGTGGAGCTCCCTATGGGGCCACGAACCGTGTGAGGGGTATGCCGAAATGGGCGGGGTTAACGAATGCAACCGCTGCCACGGGGGCCTTCGGTGGAGCTCCCTATGGGGCCACGAACCGTGTAAGAGGTGTGCCGAAATGGGCAAAGGGACGCATGCGAACCCTGCCACTGGGGCCCTTCGGTGGAGCTCCTATGGGGACACGAAGCGTGTGAGGGGTGTTCCGGAATGGGCGGGGGGACGCATGCGAACCCTGCCACTGGGGCCTTCGGCGGAGCTCACTATAGAGCCACGAAGCGTGTGAGGGGTGTGCCGAAACGGGCGAGGGGACGCTTGCGAACCCTGCCACTGGGGCCTTCGGCGGAGCTCCCGATGGGGCCACGAAGCGTGTGAGGGGTGTGCCGAAACGGGCGAGGGGACGCTTGCGAACCCTGCCACTGGGGCCTTCGGTGGAGCTCACTAGGGCGGGGGGACGCATGCGAACCCTGCCACTGGGGCCTTCGCGGAGCTCCCTATGGGGCCACGAACCGTGTAAGAGGTGTGCCGACATGGGCGGGGGGACGCATGCGAACCCTGCCACTGGGGCCTTCGACGGAGCTCCCTATGGGGCCACGAAGCATGTGAGGGGTGTGTCGACGCTGATGGCGATACTGGTGACGATAACGGCGATGATGATGACGATGATGGGGGTGATGGCGATGATGGTGATGATGATGATGATGATGATGATGATGATGATGGTGATGATGTGGATGATTATGCTGATGATGATGATGATGATGATGATGATGATGATGATGATGGTGATGATGATGATGATGATGAAGACGGCCATGATGACGAGGATGATGATGGCGATGGCGATGATGATGGCGATGATGATAGCGATGGTGCTGATGACGATGACGATGACGATGATGTTGACGATGTTGACGATGTTGATGATGATGATGATGATGATGATGATGATGATGATGATGACGACGACGACGACGACGACGACGACGATGAGACGAGGGAGGGGGCAGCGGGAAGGAAGGAAGGAACGCGGAGCGCTATACCTTCAAAACAAGGACCCAACACCACAGGATGGTTGAGAAAAAACAGAAGTGCGTCGCGCCAGCCTCCCTGGTGATTACGGCCAGGCAATCAATCAATTATAGTGGAAATCCAGACCAAAGAGTCCAGCAGTCGAGCGTGCATCCGCGTTAGCGCACCACTCTGCCCTAGCAGGGTCGTGCATGCACGACCTCGCTGTGGCAATCGCCAGCGCCAGCGACTGCCCAACCAGGGGCCGTGCCGCGCGACCCATGACAGGGCAGACCTCCCCTGACTGCCTGCCCTAAGGGGGGGATGGTTTTATGGGCGCACGATACTCTTAGGGCAGTCGCTGGCGCCAGCGACTGCCCTAAGAGGGTTTGGCCCAAGGGGGGTCGTGCAGCACGACACCTGCCAGGGCAGTCGCCGGCGCCAGGGACTGCCCTGGGAAGGTCGTGCATGCGCGACCTTGCTTGGGCAGAGTGGAGGGCGTGCTAACGTGGATGCGCGGGTCCTTGTCGGCCCCACCTTGAATGATCAGACCCCGCTGTCAATGGCGCGTCATGATGTTGGTGGTGATGGTGATGACGATGATGTTACGTGTTGTTCCTAAGGATGAAAAACAAGTGTCCCTAATTTAAAGAACAAGATTTTCAAACCATTCGCGGCTTGCGCGTTTATAGCGGCGTCTCGGAAAGTAGTGAGGATGCGGGTGGCGCTGCAGAATTTGCGCCTGAGGCCGTTCGGCATGACTCCTCTGCGTTTTTCAGGAATACTCATTTCTTGCGAAATGAATAGTTCAGCCAAATACGAATCCCATCAGCCCTCTCGGCGTCGGTGGTTTAGGGAGTTTCCTCTTCCCCACTAGGCCTCGTGAGGGTTGCTCTGGAGGCCGTGTGGGCCTCCTTGGAAGTCCTTGGGGCACCTTGGGCAGAGGCACTTCTAGCAACAGCCGAGCTAAGATGAAGAGAAAAATCGTAGATCTCTGAGATCTGGCGGTTCTGGACGATGTATCGGGCAACGCGGCCTTCTCAAAGCGCTCAGCGTTCTGGAACGACTTATCCTGTCCTAGCCCCTGAGCATCGTTTATCCCGGCGTGGCGTGGGCCCCACTGGCCGATTTACGCCCCCCTAGGTGGGGGTATAGGCCGCTTCCTTCGGGATTCGATGGGTATATCCCCCATTGGGGCGATGGGATGGTGGGGGGGATGGGGATGGGAATGGGGATAAGGATTGGTTAAACGATGCTGAGCTCTGGAAAGATTAACCCCTGTCCCAACCCTGCCCGACGCTCCCTCGTGGCGCAAGTTGTAGCACAACTGCCCTTGGGCCTGCACCCGCACGGGATCGGGGGTGCTATGAGAATCAAGGAGGAGACTGAGGAAACGGGAGAGGAAAAGGCAGAGGAGGAGGTCTGCCTTGGACTCGAGAGGAGGAGGAGAAGGAGGAGGAGGAGGAGGAGGAGGAGGACAAGGACAAGGACAAGGACAAGGACAAGGCCGTTGGGGGTCGTAATCTGTCAGCATAAAACACTTGTGGGACCCCTAAAGGAACATGGATGCGGGCCCCCAGAACCGTATGCCGTGGAGGCTGCCTGGGGCGAGCGCTCCTCAGGTCCGTCCTGAGGGGGGCGCTGCCCCGTCAGCAGGGTAGCCCTGCCTCTCAGGATGCGCGGAGTGCTGCAGGAGGCTTCCGCTGCCGTGTTGCACGGCGCACGGACGATTCTGAGGACCATGCCCTCCCCTCCCCCACACTCTCTCCCCCCCGGAGGAGGAGGAGGAGGAGGAGGAGGAGGAGGAGGAGGAGGAGGAGGAGGTGGAGGAGGAGTAGGAGGAGGAAGAGGAGGAGGAGGAGGAGAAGGAGGAGGAGGAGGAGGGGGAGGAGGGGGAGGAGGAGTAGGAGGAGGAGATGGGGACTGCGGAGGAAGACGACGAAGATGAAAAATCGAGGACAGAGGGTCGAAAACAGGATCAAGGGAAGGGGCCGGGCATCAGGGGACCAGAGCGGAGGGCGCGAGCTCGCCAACGACCCTACCACCGACTGCATCCCGCAAGTCCTCTTCTTGCTGGTTTTCTGCCCGATCTCGATGAGGCCATCTTTTCCTCCGCGGCAGGGGCCAAGAGCCATCGAACAGCGGCGCGGCACAAATTCCGACCGCATGTATACCCACGAGTCGGCAGAAATGGGTAGACACATGAAGTCGGAAGGCGTTGAAATAGATTGGGTTTCCATCCGCCCTCCGAAACGGAGGGTCGAGGGACAGACGCTCGTCTCTTGCACTAGGTCTGGGGATCTAAAGAATACCGACTTGCAGTACTCCATGGGTGCCAATGTTGCACACCTCGCCGGCGGCAGAATCTGCTTCAAATCCAGCTGGCGGAACAAAGAGAATTGTCCACAAGCTGCACCCAACAAAACGGAAGAAAGAGCTCAAGCATCGAAACGCGGATGTGGCACGTTAGCCATCGCGGACCCCAAGCATGTTGTGCATTTTATGTGGTGAAAGTGTTTTTTACCTATCAGCGAAGACTGATAGGTTTCTAGTAGGGTCAAAAGAAAGCATCATGACTCCTCAGGGGGGTCGGGGCGGGACCCGGGGCGGGCCCGAAGCCCGCCGGACATCCTCGCAAAATCGCTCTTCGGCTCTTGGCTGCTAGAACTCCATTCCCGGGTACATTTTGGATGCCCGGAGCCAACTGTAGGCCACTTCGTGCTCTTCGAGTTCCCAGAACTCCATTCCCGGGCCACATTTTGAATGCCCGGAGCCAACTGTAGGCCACTTCGTGGTCTTCGAGTTCCCAGAACTCCATTCCCGGGCCACATTTTGAATGCCCGGAGCCAACTGTAGGCCACTTCGTGCTCTTCGAGTTCCCAGAACTCCATTCCCGGGCCACATTTTGAATGCCCGGAGCCAACTGTAGGCCACTTCGTGGTCTTCGAGTTCCCAGAACTCCATTCCTGGGCATGATTTTGAATGCCCGGAGCCAACTGTAGGCCACTTCGTGGTCTTCGAGTTCCCAGAACTCCATTCCTGGGCACATTTTGAATGCTGAGGCTGAGGCTGAGGCTGAGGCTGAGGCTGAGGCTGAGGCTGCAGGCTGGCTGAGGCAGGCTGAGGCTGAGGCCGAGGCTGAAGGCAGACTGAGGCTGAGGCTGAAGCAGGCTGAGGCTGAGGCTGAGGCAGGCTGAGGCTGAGGCTGAGGCTGAGGCAGGCTGATGCTGAGGCAGGCTGAGGCTGAGGCTGATGAGGCTGATGAGGCAGGCTGAGGCTGAGGCCGAGGCTGAAGGCAGACTGAGGCTGAGGCTGAAGCAGGCTGAGGCTGAGGCTGAGGCAGGCTGAGGCTGAGGCTGAGGCAGGCTGATGCTGAGGCAGGCTGAGGCTGAGGCTGAGGCTGATGCAGGCTGAGGCTGAGGCTGAGGCCGAGGCTGAAGGCAGACTGAGGCTGAGGCTGAAGCAGGCTGAGGCTGAGGCTGAGGCAGGCTGAGGCTGAGGCTGAGGCAGGCTGAGGCTGAGGCTGAGGCAGGCTGAGGCTGAGGCCGAGGCCGAGGCTGAAGGCAGACTGAGGCTGAGGCTGAAGCAGGCTGAGGCTGAGGCTGAGGCAGGCTGAGGCTGAGGCTGAGGCAGGCTGATGCTGAGGCAGGCTGAGGCTGAGGCTGAGGCTGATGCAGGCTGAGGCTGAGGCAGGCTGAGGCTGAGGCCGAGGCTGAAGGCAGACTGAGGCTGAGGCTGAAGCAGGCTGAGGCTGAGGCTGAGGCAGGCTGAGGCTGAGGCTGAGGCAGGCTGATGCTGAGGCAGGCTGAGGCTGAGGCTGAGGCTGATGCAGGCTGAGGCTGAGGCAGGCCTGAGGCTGAGGCCTGAAGGGACTGAGGCTGAGGCTGAAGGCAGGCTGAGGCTGAGGCTGAGGCAGGCTGAGGCTGAGGCTGAGGCTGAGGCTGCAGGCTGAGGCTGGCTGAGGCTGAGGTGAGGCTGAAGGCTGAGGCTGAGGCTGAGGCTGAGGCTGAGGCTGAGGCTGAGGCTGAGGCAGGCTGAGGAGGCTGAGGCCGAGGCCGAAGGCAGACTGAGGCTGAGGCTGAAGCAGGCTGAGGCTGAGGCTGAGGAGGCTGAGGCTGAGGCTGCAGGCTGATGCTGAGGCAGGCTGAGGCTGAGGCAGGCTGAGGCTGAGAGGCTGAGGCTGAGGCTGAAGGCAGGCTGAGGCTGAGGCTGCAGGCTGAGGCTGAGGCTGAGGCTGATGCTGAGGCAGGCTGATGCTGAGGCTGAGGCTGAGGCTGAGGAGGCTGAGGCTGAGGCAGGCTGAGGCTGAGGCAGGCTGAGGCTGAGGCCGAGGCAGGCTGAGGCAGGCTGAGGCTGGCTGAGGCTGAGGCTGAGGCTGAGGCAGGCTGAGGCTGAGGCTGTGACTGCGAATGCCGTTGCCACTGCGACTGTCATCGCGAATGCGACTACGACTGCGAGAACAGCAGAATTCTACAACTGGATTCTCATCTGAATCTTAAGGGGAATGCTTCCAAATATGCTCCTACACATCGCTGTTAGGTTGCTTTGCCGGGATAATTAACGAACCGGTTGGCACATCCCATACTCTTGCAAACATCCCACCCACCCACCCACCCGCAACTTGGTTTGCAAAACCCATGCGGTGGCGATTGCGATGCATGTCTAGCGTTGGCTGGTGCATGTCTGCGGCCGCGCCAACCCTAGCACGCGCGCGCAGCGGCCAGCTAGTTTGGCGCCACCGACGCGGCCGCGGTGGCGCTGACAGCTGGGCGCATCCCAGCGGACAATTTACTGCGAGTCGGCGATGTGGGCGGGCGCGGTATCATGGCAACGCCGACTACGGTAGACACGATGATGATAGTGGCCAAACTGGTGACGATGTTCGCTCTGACGAAGGCGCGGCCAGTGCGGGCGCCAATGCTGATCACGCAGACGACGATGACGGCGTCCTCGCGTCGGTGCTACAGGTTTTGACCAGAACTCGACATGCGCGCGCGGCCGACGCGCGAGTGTGGCCCGCATGGTTTCGTTTGACACGGATCGTGCCCCAACAGCACCCGCGCAAGGGCGCGCGACTGATGTCGGCATGCGGCGCCAGAGGCCCTTTTGGGAGAATTCGGTGAACATGTTGAGAAACCAATGGTTTTCTCAAGGATTCGCAAGAGCGCGCGCAACTTTTTGGGATGGAAGCTGATGTTGCGAAACACCATGTGTTTTTGCATGCTTTTTGGATACTCAGTCTTGATATCGCTACGAAATCTACGTAACCGAAGCTTTTTGAGGGATTTCGGCATGCGCGCGCGACGACGCGCGCGTGTGCATGTCGCCCCATTGTTTGCAAAGGATTTTCGCGACGACACGCGGGTAAAAGCGTTCGAACGATTTCCGCTTGGTAGCATGTTCTGAACATGTTGAACGACATATGGCTTTTGAAAAGAATTCGCAAGAGCCCGCGCACGCTTTGTTTGAAAATCCGCGCTGCGAAACCATATGTGTTTATATGGATTTTGGACACTGGTTTTGGAATGTCTTCCGAAACCGACGGTTTTTCAAGGATGTCGGCATGCACGCGCGACGACGCGCGCGTGTGCCCTTCGTACATATGTTGGAAGGGATTATTGAAAACGGATGTGTTTTTTTATAAACGAGTGCGTGCGCATATTCTTTGCAGAGGACGGCGGGGGGGGTCGATACTGGCCCAGCTGGGATGTTACGAGTTCAGATTTAGAATGGACAATGGGCAAAACCAGATGTAAAATGCAATACGAAAAAGGGGGTCGATAGACCTGGGGGGGAAGTCTATTCTCTATTCAGAAAGAAGAATATACCTTGTGCAATACATGTACGGTGAGCATTCTCCTAGCAGAGCCAGGCAACACCTAGACGACGGGCCGCGACGAGGCGACGACGAGGCTGCGACGGCGACAACGAGGCGGCGGACCCAACAGTGCTGCCCAGACGACGGGCGGCGACGACGCGGCGACGGCGACAACAGGGCGGCGGACCTAACACCAAAGCCCAGACGACGGGCGGCGACGAGGCGGCGACGGGGCGGCGACGGCGACAACATGGCGGCGGACCCAACACCAGGGACACAGACGACGGACGGCGACGAGGCGGCGACGGCGACAACAAAGCGGCCGCCGCGACAGTGGGGCCCTCTTCCTTATGAAAAGAATGCTTAGCCAGCGAGTCCCAGTAGCTCTGACCTCGATACTCACAAAAGACCGCGCGCCATAGCCGTCCCAACTCGCTCAGATACCGAACCGAGAAACCAATCTATACGGCGACGGTCAGGAAATATTGTTTGTTTGTTGTTGGTTGTTGCTTTCTCTCTCTCTCTCTCTGTGTTTTTTTACCTAACAGCGAAGACTGATAGGTTTCTAGTAGGGTCAAAAGAGAGCATCATGACTCCTCAGGGGGGTCGGGGCGGGACCCGGGGCGGCTGCCGTCGAAGACCAAATCGCCTGGGACATCCTAATGGAGTTCTGGGAACTCGAAGACCACGAAGTGGCCTACAGTTGGCTCCGGGCATTTCATGCCTAGGAATGGAGTTCTGGGAACTCGAAGACCACGAAGTGGCCTACAGTTGGCTCCGGGCACCCAAAATGTGGCCCGGGAATGGAGTTCTGGAAACTCGAAGACCACGAAGTGGCCTACAGTTGGCTCCGGGCATCCAAAATGTGGCCCAGGAATGGAGTTCTGGGAACTCGAAGACCACGAAGTGGCCTACAGCTGGCTCCGGGCATCCAAAATGTACGCCGGGGATGGAGTTCTGGGAACTCGAAGACCACGAAGTGGCCTACAGTTGGCTCCGGGCATCCAAACTGCACGCCGGGAATGGAGTTCAGCAGCGCCAAGAGCGATTTTGCGAGGCGCGGCCCCTCCACTGACCCTCGTGAGACTCCGAGTTGAACGGCAAGCTCTGCAACGATCTTGCCAGACGTCAGGTGCCACTGTGGAATTCAGAACACATCAGAGTAAATCCCGCAGACTCAACCACGCGATGGACTTCATCCCAAATGGCAGGTCTAGCAAGGAGGCCGAACATGCACCCCAAGCCCACGTGCACGTCGACAAGGGTTGTACGTCTCGGAATGTCTGGCCCCC